TTTTTTCATACCCTTAACATCAAACCAGCTATGTTAGATTCATCTCAGCTGCAATTGAAGGAAAAGAAATCTCTGCCCACAGCGAGAGAAGAGAATATTACACTATGGTCCAAGAATCAAGGCAGAAACACCAAATGCATACCCCTCTCACGTGGAAAACGAAATCGCAAATTCAAAAGGACAAGGTACTTATAGTGTCCAAACCAAGCGCTTCTCCTCCCTCCAAATCGCACGCATGGTCCTATTAATTCAGCTCAAGTGTTTCGCCCAGGCGACACAAGGTGAACGTTGAAGTGCTGGAAATCACATTTCCGAAGCCAGACATAGTCCAATGGGTTATCTCGGGTGTTGTGACGGCGTCATCGGACTCCAAGGATGCGTCGCGAAGAGCAAGACCATCATGCGAGCAAAAGTTGGGCAAATATATTTGATCCGATACACTCGGATCAATGCTCCTTGGTCTCAAACCACCACGGTCCACCATCTCGTGACTCCCGCTTGGCTTTCTGCGTCAGTACTCAGTAAGTACGCGGTTGTTCTATCCAGTGACCCGTCTCTCTGACAGCAGCCGTACACTGGTGCCACCGTCCGGATCCCGATTCACAGGCTACAGCCTCTTGTCAGCTCGACCGTCGACGACTCATGATTGTACTTATGGCGGCTCGAGATGCAGGAGTGTCTGCATCGTACAGGCTCATTGATGATTGAATGCAAAATTTGAATAACATCAGACCACCACCATTGATTCCTATCATCCGCCTCCAAATCGTCGTCAAAGTCCTTAAATCTTGCCTATCCTCACGAGAAGTCGCCCTTGCTCCGAAACTAGTGTGCCCTGGCGCCACAAACAACCAGAGCGGCGAAACCTCCTTCCGTTGAGCGCGAGAGACTGCGAATACGATTCACCGGTTGCTTGAAACTTCTGCATACACCTGTCCGTCTGGCGCTGTGGCTGCTGCAACCATACCACAACGACAGAGCTGTGTTCCACTGCTAGAAAGCACACTCAGCGGCCTCACTCTGGTCCCTCACCCACTCCTACAAACGACGACTAACGGGGCGTAGCCATCCTATTCCCTGCTGCCACGTCGATATTACGTCAAGTTGCTGTGCGCGGCGGCAAGTGCTCCGCTCGCTTCAACGTGAAACGCGAAAGTGGGGTCCAGACCATTCCTTCCATCACGATTCAATTATTATTCAACGTTCCTTACTACCCTATCGTGTTCTCAGAAAATTCAAGCAAGTACCGCGACATTCTGCGTGCCCAAGTATGGAAATCGAGGACTTAACCAGCCGATCATCGGTTATTCAATCCCCAAGTAGTTCAAATTCTTCTCGTGGGTCTCACCTCGTCCGTGGCTTATTGCCGCATGGTGAGGATGCCCAAATGAAGGAACTTTGCTTGATACGGGATGGCTTTTTGCGACAGTCTCTCAAGCTCCATTCTCACTCTTCTGTCGTGCGTTTCTCCTCACAGAAACCGGAATCACACCACTTCGAATTTGACACTTTCTGCTCTTGCTCGCATGATCTCTTGAAACTCTCGCCGCTGGACAAATCAAACCAGTAGTGGGTTGAAGGTGTTCTCATAGCAGCAAGAAAATCACCATCTCAGTGCATGGCATCGAATTTCTCCACATTACCTACTCATGAGACGAGCGTGGAGAAACATCGTAAACATGTCCAAAAAACTGCACTTCAATGGATGCAGATGCAGGTCAACTCCTGGGATAAACTTCATGAATTGAACGGACAACATGACAAGAGACCATGCCACCTTCTACGTTGTCCCTCGCCTGTAAGGTTTATCCCATATCTCCTCGAAGACAGTGACTCCAGTTGAAAGTGACTAACTTGCCTTTTTTCGTGGTCTAGGTTCTACCGTGGGGCATGGGTCTTCTCATGGGGTCTGCGCTTAGGGCTTAGAGTGCGGAGGGAGGTCCTGGGACGAAGGTGTATATGACTTGCTTTGTACACTGGGATAATCCCAGGAAACCGGCGTTCGATAAGCGGACCGTGCCGTGTAATTTATCCTATCCTATCCTATCCTCCTCACGCTGTTTGTACTCCATATAGATCATTCAAGACGGGATTCTCCTGCTCCACTTGTTAATCCCTTTCGGCTGCTATTTCTCGATGCCAGCCCGACGCCGGCCGACCCCAAACGCCTACCTCTCGAGGAGACGGCAACATTGGGGTAAGATTCAATGATCCACGACATCCCTCGAAACAAACTCATCGCTCACAAGGTCCGGATGTGCATGCCCGGAGCACGACAAATTCAACTCTAGCTGTTCTGCACTCGCACATGTATCCCATTCGCTCAAAGTCCACTCGAAGAACGGTTACGCCAAGACGGGATTCGCCGGCCCCCCTTGTTTCCACTCAATTCTTTGCGGCTGCTATTTCGCGATGCCAGCCCGACTCGAGCCGGCGGCACCGACCTCTCGAAGTTTGACGACGGTAACATAAAGATAAGATTCAATGATCTACTCTGTCGCATCCCCCGCAACAAACTCATCGTTCACAAGCTCTGAAGTGCCGGATAACGACAAATTGGCCTCAACCTTATACGCTCCTCATGTATATAGGGTGGGTCTCCCATTCGCTCGAGGACCGGGTACGCTAACGGAGATTAATCACACCGTGCAGCAGATCTCTCCACTAGCAACGCAGTTTGATCATTGGTGGCTCTGAACGGAGCCGGGAGGGGACCATTCTATTCAAGTCCTCATCATGGGTACACGACGGAGACGCACTTTATCATTCAAGCCCCCGCTCCCTGCCGTATTCCTTGCGATGACTATGACACTTCGAGAGCTGGGCTCACGGAGGGACTCGATGATGTCCTCTCGTACGGAGTCTACCCTGGCGAGTGCCCACGGATGTACGCCGGGAAAGGACAAGCACGGCGAAAGGGCCCCTCACTGGCGCGAGAACGCCGAATGCTACGTGCGTTTAATACCTGTCTCTTTCTCTGTGTCTTGACTGTAGTATGCCTTCTAGATCACCCATCACGCCGCACAAACAAGCCAACGACAAGACCTCATCCTCAAGCTCGCTCGCGTCTTCATGATGCTTGGAGCTCCTTCGTACCGACTGGAAGCGCAGATTCAGGATGTCTGTAGCGTGCTGGACGTACAGGCCGAGATGCTATACCTCCCGGACAGTTTCTTCGTCAGCTTCACCGACAACGCGTCAGGGATTGGGAGTGGTACAGCTAAATTGATCAGGCAGACGCGGACGTTGAATTTGGGCAAGTTGAAGGCTGCTTATGGGATTTATTCGAGCGTGAGTTTTGATGTACTGACTGGACGACTTGATTACAATTTCTCAGATCGTCCACGGCGAGCGATCCGTGGTGGAACTCTCGAATGCGCTCGACGATCTGATGTTTGCTGCAAAGCAGGAATACCGACAGGCGTGGTGGAAGCTTGCGCTGGCTGGAGGGATGTGTTCTGCGACAATCTGTCCGGTCGGCTTCAACGGAAGCTTCCTGGACGCGCTCATTTCGTTCCCTCTCGGCGCCCTATTAATCGGCATTCAGCTGCTGAGTGCGCAGAATGAGTTATATTCGAACCTCTTTGAGTGAGTGTCCCTCTGGCTTCTATTTGCTTACTGATTGTGAGCAGACTTTCGATGGCGACACTCTTCAGCTTCCTCTCCGCCTTCCTCGCGTCTACACACGTGTTCTGCTACTGCGCCGTTGCATCTGCGTCTATCGTGCTCATCCTCCCGGGTTTCTTCGTCTACACCGGCGCCCTCGAGATCATGTCGAGAAATCTCATCTCGGGGTCCGTGAGGATGGGTTACGTGATTGTGTATGCGCTCTTCTTGGGATTCGGGCTGGCGATGGCGCGGAGGGGTACGAGGTCTTCGCGAGGAGGAGCGTTAGAGGAAGTGTGGATTATACGTGCACGTTGAGCCACAACCCTGATGGTCCGTGGTGGCAGCGGACGTTCACTTTTTATTGGAGTGGGTGCGTCTCCTTCGTTTGGGATGAATTATTGACGATTATCCCTAGATATCCTCTCTTTGGTGATGTTCTCCTTCTTCCTCAGCCTCAAAAACTTTTCTCCGTGGCGCAGTCGGCAGATGCTGCTTCTCATCTTATTCTCGCTGGTGGGATTTGTACCGAGCCATTTCGCGGGAATCGCTGTAGAAAGCCAGAGCTATGTCGGTCCAGCTGTTGGGTTCGTTTCATTCCCTTCTCACGAAGTTGATGAACGGTTTACACAGGACTCTCGCAGTGGGTGTCTCCGCCAGTCTGTACGCAACATTCTTCTCGGAGAATGCCTTCGTCGTTATGGTGCGCCTGCGTCCCTCGATGCTTGACTGTCCTCACCACTTGCTAGATCACGGGTATATTGTATCAACTTCCAGCCGGCATGGGAAATAATGGCGGTCTCCTCAGCTATGCATCGGACACCGACAGCGGGTCACCTACGTCCTTGCTCGCGGGATTCGAGACGGGCGTTCAACTGATTGGCGTGGGCGTTGCTATGAGTATTGGGCTGGGAATTGCGCTTTTGCTGGTGCATCCCATGTCGAGGGGGCGTGGGGTGGTGATGTCTTGAACTAAGCTGAAAAACCATTGCGAGCGGCGAGACGTATAGGTACATCTGACTTGATGTTAGAAACAAGAAAAAGGACGAGCGTCATCCTGGATAACTACCCAGCCCTGAGTCGACGGTCTTTTGTCACGAGCAAACAGCCTGGCGAGTACCCTGACTCTGCTGTTACTTATCACCAAACCGCCTCAAGTCAGTCCCGGGTTCACGACTGCACGTCGTCGACCTGACTCTTCACAGCCTGCTACAGCTCGAACGAGAAATTCCAAGTGACTTGAGAATCAACGTTTTCTGTGCAGATGCCAGATGTTGTTGTTTTATTCCAGACTGTGCAGTGCGTCTGCGCAGAATTGCGAGATAAGTGTTGGCAAGTACCCGCGAGCACCGGCGCAAGATCGAAGATCCAAAAAGTTGGGTTTCACCTCCGCAAGGCCGCGCCCGGAGTCGAACCGGGGTCCCCAGAAAAGGAAAGTCAGAATCTGATGTGATAACCGTTACACTACGCAGCCTCCTAGTGCCTGTGGGGGTCTGGGATGAACCTGTGTTTAGTTCTGGCAAGGAAGTTTCAAAAACCATTTACATATGTATACGCGTACAGATTTGTTCTTACTCTCCTTCAATTTGTTTCCTGCGGGAAAGCCACCAACTTGACTCCACTCACTGCATTATTCTCCATCTTCGCCAGCCCATCGACAATTCCAACCAACCCGTTCGGCAATTTCTCAGCACGATTAGGCTGGTTCCAGTTCTTCAGCAGCCAGAACGGGACAACAATAACAGCAGAAAAGCACTCACAACAATGATACCCTCTGCAACCTGCTTCGCCAACGTCTTCCACATAAGCACTCCAAACTCCCGATGCGCATGCGGAGAGCCCAGAATATGAATGAGTTTCCTCCCATTCACATCGTGCTCTTCCCCGCCCAGAACCGCCACGGCTGTCCCACCCTCGGATGAGACTAGTTCGAAACACACTTCCTGGGTGTCGGGCTCGCTGATTGCGTCGTAGACGATCTTGAACGATGCGCTCGGGCCAGCGATATGGCGCACGGCTTCGGGGACAGATGCGGTGGGTACGGCGTTGCGGTCGATGACGTGCGTGGCGCCCAGGGACTTGAGGAAGTCGGTGTGTTTGGCTGATGCGTAGGTGATGATGGGAGAGAACTTGTACTCGCGGAGAATTTGGAGAGCTGGTCGAGGAGAGGTACATATGTAATATATGAGCTTGATACGAGTAAGTCAGACTCACCGAATTGACCGACGGAAGAACTCCCTCCGAAGACGAAGACCGGCTCGCCTGCAAAACTCTTCTCGAAAGCGCAAGTGGGGTCAAGGCCTGCTCCGGCCGGAGCTGCTGCAAGAAGTCCAATTGCGGCGGTAGCGTAACCAAGAGGAATCGATGCAGCTTCGGCGTAGTCGAGGCTGTCAGGGATCTGCCGCATCATCAGCGAATGCTCTGAGATGGCGGGTACTGAAATTCCACACCTTCCCAACCAAATCCGCCGGCATGAGTGCATACTGTTGGAAAGCAGAGAATCCGTGCGGAGGGAAAGTGAGTCCCATGCTACGTAGATGATAAGTATCTTCAAATCCCAGCTGAGATATCTGCGAATTCAACTCACACCCGATCTCCCTTCTTCAAACTATCGACGCCCTCGCCGACCGCTTCTACATCCCCAGAGAAATCCCACCCAACGATAGTCGGGTACTTGTCGATGAAGGCCCCGACTTTGCGCATCTTCCAGTCCACGGGATTCAGCGCGGTTGCTTGGATCTTGATCAGGACTTGTCCTGCGGCAGGGGCAGGCGGCATAGGCCAGCTGTCGACGACGAACTGGCCGAATTTCTCCTTCAGAACGAGGGCTTTCTGGGTGGACATGGTGGGTGGGTGCAAGTGGGGTTCCGATTAGGTTCCGAGGAACGATGTAAGTACTTCTTTTTTTGGCACCGGTTACAGTCGGAGCGCCCTGGCCTCTAGTCGCCGAGGTGCCCAAACGTTCCTTGATTAATTGATGGCCTCGTGGTGATCTTTCTGTTCCATGTGGGGTGCAAATAGATCTGCCGCTCGTCGGCCGCAGTAGCCATCAGATTTCATTTGACAACAATCATTGCACAGACTCGTGACTCCTTTTCAGCTTCCACCATGGGCTTCTGATTCAACGGCAACATTTAGGGCACGGGCTCCCATCCGCAGCAACGATGGACCGGCAGCCGGGGTACTGAGGCCGCGCGGGACTACCACTTCTTGACCACTTCCCTCTTATCCTTCCTTCCTTCACTTGCGTCAATCTTGGCTCACTGCACGCCATAAAGTTTGCCCCGGCTGTATCACTCGGACCTCTTGATTCTTTGGCTTACAAATCCTCCACTCTCGATTCGTTCATTCACCCATCTCATTTCTCAGGCTATTTCTAGCCGTGAGCACACCCCCTGGCAATATTTATCCCTGCCGAGGGCCTGGCCTTCAGGGCTTCTATCTTTACTCCCATGCCGCCTGGCAATCCAATAATTCGACTTGGATACGCTATTTCAGTCACTCTATATAGGATTGGACGGCTTGAATCCGCGGTCCCACTACTCGATTCGTTCTCTCCGCACTGGCTGCGATGGGCGAAAGCTGGATCAAGAGGGAGCTTCTCACACCCCGAAGACTGGTCTTCAATGTCATCTTCTACGGACTTCAGCTGTTCTTGTTTGCCTATGGCTGGTTTCTCCAGGTGTGTGTGCTATGATACTTTACCTCGCAACATACTGATTCCACAGGAAACAAACACCCGACTGTCCGGCCTCAACACGCTCAAGTTCTCCGTCTGGATCTCGCGTGGGGCAGGGCTCGTGCTAGCCTTTGACGGCGGTCTCATCCTCGTTCCCATGCTCCGAAACATCATCCGCGTCGTCCGTCCCAAGCTCACGTGGCTCTTCCCCGCAGACGAGAACATTTGGTTCCATCGGCAGGTGGCGTACTCGATGGCCTTTTGGGCTATGGTGCATACCTCTGCGCATTATGTCAATTTTATCCAAGTTGAGCGGACGCGTGAGTACGAGAACTGTAATTTTCCTTCAGGGACCTGAGATTTTCCCCAGAAATACGACCCCAGACCGCCCAACAAATACACTACACGCAGCCCGGGGGAATCACAGGCCACTTTATGTTGCTCATCATGCTCCTCATTTACACCACCGCGGCGCAGCGTATTCGCACCCAGTGCTTCGAAGCGTTCTGGTTCACCCACCACCTGGCCTTCTTCTTTATGCTCGGGCTGTACACCCACGCGACGGGCTGTTTTGTGCGTGATACCCTCGATCCGGTCTATACAGACGTCTTCCCATTTTACGATTCGACGCATTGTCTGGGGTACATGAGTTGGCGAGCGACGATTTGGCCTGGGGTGATATATTTCGGGGAGAGGATGTGGAGGGAAATTAGGGCGAGGAAGAGAACGAAGTTGGATCGAGTGCTTGTACATCCTAGCGGTGCGTTACACCATCCTTGCCATGATCTCCACTGACCCGACTCTAGGTGCCATGGAACTCCGAATTATCAAGCCGAGTTTCAAATACACTCCGGGGCAATGGCTGTTCATCCAAGTCCCCGAAATCTCACGCGTACAGTGGCATCCCTTCACCATCACCTCCGCGCCAAAAGACCCGTACGTGTCCCTACACATCCGACAGGTCGGAGATTGGACCCATGCCCTCGGCGAACGGCTCGGTGCAGGGCCAGAGGTCGTAGCACGCATGAGGGCCGAGGCAATGCGAGGTATCCAGATGAAGGAGGGAGCGCGCTTTGAACTTGATTTGGCTGTCAACGCGGACCTCCCGAGGGTGAGGATCGACGGGCCATATGGTGCGCCGGCAGAGGATGTATTCGGGGTACAGGTTGCTATACTTGTTGGTGCTGGTATTGGTGTTACTCCTTTCGCCTCGATCTTGAAGGTATGCGAACTGATTGACCATGATTGAAATAATGTTCTTCCAGGACATCCGATACCGCCAACGCGAGAACCGCCTCGGACTTTTGCAACGCGTTGAATTTTTCTGGATCTGCCGGGATGCGCCATCCTTCGGGTGGTTCCAGAGTATCCTCGCCGAACTCGAAGCCGCCCAAGCCGACCGTGAGTCCCATTTTCCTCTTCCACCCCTTCGTCTGAACGCACCGCAGCCAACTTCCTCCACATCAACATATACCTGACGCAAAAGATCAACGAAGACATGATGTGGAATATCGTCGTTAACGACGCCGGGGGCAACTACGATCCGCTTACGCTCTTACGCACACGCACGCTATTCGGAAGGCCGGATTGGATGACCATCTATGGGCAGATTCGCAGGGCTATCGAGGCCGGGGATTATATTCCTGGGAGTGCGGCGCAGTTGCAGACCAAAGTCGGGGTACGTTCGAGATGTCCGTTGTTTTGAAATCGGCTGATTTCGGGTAGACGTACTTTTGTGGACCTGGGCCGATTGCAAAGGCTATCAAGGCGGCGACTTTGTATCACAGCGGGCCTGCGGTCAAGTTTACATTCGCCAAGGTGCGTGTTGTGATTCGTTAGGAAGCGGACTTTGACACCAGTGTAGGAGCATTTCTAAGATCACAGACTTAGTTTTTGGTTACACCCTACGACCGCGGGATTTCATTTTTTTTACTCTTTTACAAAAGAAGTTGCTATGCTTGGCACACGCCCCAGGACCAGTTGGGGAAATGATGCACCCGTTTTCAGAAAGGGACCCAAGGATAGCCGCTTAAACGAGCCTGGTTCTTCCGTTCTTATCAATTCGTGAATGACCAGGGTTTGTCATGATATCCTTCCTTGAGCAAATACTCTCTTTCCTTCACAACTTCTGTGTGTGTACTTCAGCCCATGAATGGTGAGCATAAGTCTAATAGTGTTGCGGCAGCATCCCTTCACCGACGCGAACTACTTTCGCCGGCGCGCACGTCCTATTGGCCCTTTGGACCATGCACTCATCGCATTAATGGGGTAGTGGTAACCTGGGTCGTTGCCATGCCATGTGAACAAACATGTTTCGACCCGCCGGGGGTTCGATTCCCCCTTAATGCATTCATTTTTGCTGTATTTTTGGTGCCTCATTTGTGTTTGAACCCGTGACTCACGCAAGCAATGGACACGTCGTTTGTCCTCGCCTCTCTCCATTCCCTTTTGTCTCTGGAATAACCAACACCGGTGGACATTCATAGCCACGCAGGATATGAATCCATTGATGCTAAGCCACCAATGTAGAGATTCATTGAGATTCATTGCTTGTGCTTCGTTTCGGAACTTCCCCCGTTTGAATCACGCCTCGGACCAGGATATGAGGGAGGACCCACGCAAGACCTTGTTCCAAGGTGTTGTAGGAGACCCGGACATCCAACGTGACCGTGTTCAACTCCTGTTGAACATCCTGAATATATCTTCCATCCAGCCTGATTAATTACTCCATCCATCCTGAATGGTTCTACCTATCTCTGTTTCCATTTATTCCCCTGTTTGATCTACTTACTATTTCATATCGTAGATAGGCAACCTGTATAAGTACAAGCCTGCCTCGATGAATATACCTTATCTGTTCTTCATCCCACAACACAAGGGAAGAAATTCCCAGAAGACATACACTGTAACACCGTTCTGTTACTCAAAACCTGACCGCGATCTGAGTCCCAGCCCGAAGTCAGCGCAGCTAATCTTTCGAATGCTAATGGCAGCCAGCAGCAGTCCCCGTACATACCCTCCTTTAGACGAGACAGCGTCGGCAGTTTACCTACCGGACTGCCAGGTGCCTGGCTACGCACAGTTAGGATGTCGTTCGAACCGAGCCTTGACACTTGGTCAAAGTTCAGCACACATTTTTTCTTGTTTTCCCGTGTGCATTCGCCCGAATCCCACAGGGATAAGAAGGCTCGCAGCTCTTCGTGGTGTACTGACGTCTACATTCGTGTTTGATTTGGGAATTTGACGGCTCTTGCTGTGACCCAAGTTGCTGTGGAATCACCGGTGGAATCCCCGGCCTGCAGGATATTTACGATGCTACCCGTGGGCTTCTCAGTTGCGATTCCAGAATCCATTAGTTCTCATAATGCATCACTTGGTACATTTCCAATCAGTGTGATGAGAAGTGGGCAGCCTGGATAGTAAATATGAGTGCTTGTACATAATTCTTTTGCCGAGTACTCCAATCACACCTAAACCCTCTCCACCACACCCACCACACCCTTCTCGTGGTCCATCCCCTCACTCTCCGGAGTGAGTGGCCGCCCAGCGCCCATCCGGCGGTGATTCTTGTGCGCGTTGAGCAGTTCGAGGTGGGAGTTGTCGACGACTGGTTGTCGGTCGTTCGATGAGTGGGTGCTGGGAGAGGGAAAGAGACGGAAACGCACCGCGGTCAGAGTCACTGAAAAGCAAATCATAGGTGAGGTACGAGAGGAGCATGGCGGGGATGTTGGTGAGTGCTGCCATCGCGGCGTAAGAGCCCCCTCCGGCTGAAGGAACGGTTGGTTGGATGCCCGGGCATATGAATTACACACACACCTGGTAGACCCCAAATCGTCAACGCCGCAAGCCGGCCACCAAGATCACGAGCTGTGTTGGCGATCACTGCGGCAAGGAAAAGTCAAGAGTACAACAGAAAGTCAAGTAAACGCACGTCCGTTAGCGGAGAACGACCAAATTGCGGCAGCGCTAAGAAGGGTGGGTTCGTATCAGCCGAGTAGGGCGGGTCTTGTTCCAAAACAGGCTCACTAAGCCATGGCTATGATGAAAGGCGCAAACGCGGGCGGAACGAGCATGTTGGTAGGGTCAAGGCACGCAAAGATGGTGATACCCAGTATGTAATCCTTTGCAACGAACATCAGGGACGAGGTGCGTTCGGCGAACAAATACTTACGCAGACGAATTCATTCACAAACGCTCTCCCCATGTTTGACCCCAGAGGAAGCGCGAGTGCAAAGATCCCGCCGGGACCGTTGGGCGTGAAGAATACGGGGCCGCTCCCACCGGGTTTGGCGTCCAGTATCACCGAGGCCTCGAGGATCAGGGTCTTGTACTGCACGTAGACGAGCAGACACGCGATGTAGGCGCCGAAGATCTGGGCTACAATGTACCTTGTTGGGTTGAGAATCGAGCGGAATGGGCGAGAAAAGCGCTCACCGAAGTGCTTTGAGGGGAGGGAAGCGGAGAAAGACGACCTGCGCGACGGTGATGGCCTGAACTCAGAGTCAGTAGCGATAATATTAACGGTGCATGCGATGAGGCTCACGGGACTAAAATGCCCTGCGCGTTCTATCAGCACACAAACTCGATGGCATAATAGCTGTACTCCCACCTCCCGAGGTAGCACTGGCAACGGCTAAAGCCAGAAGAACGCCAAATGCGTAGGCTAACCCAATTTGCAACAGAGCTGTCGCATCATTCCGTCAGTGAGTATACATGGTGGAAGAGTTATTGAACTCGTACAAGATGCGCCAGGGATGCCGATGATATTCCCCACGACGTAAAGAGCCTGCGATCCGATACCTCGTGGAATGCCTCAGCATCGAAGGTAACAAAGTGGACAGATTGGGCTGACCTGCATACGTGCTTAGAGTTCGCCGGATGAGCACCCACATCCAGGAGAGACAATGAGAGATACATACTACAGGAACACTCCCAGCTACCGCTCCCAGTGAGTCTCGAAGCCGAATCCTCGAGCAATAGCTCACCCATTCAGCAAAGCACTCGACAAGCCAGTGGATTCTCGTATGACGATGCCTCTCAAAGGCAGCAAACGCCCGCGGGCGCTGGCGGATGTCGCTCAAGTAGACGACGTTGCTGGACATGGTGGTGGAGTGCACAAGGTACGAGAAGCACAGGGAGTGGGAGTCTTGGTATTTGTATGCCTTCCTGTCATGGGATATCGCCTGTGGCACCCGAGGAGCTGACACGTGAGCGCCAGAACGAGGGTATTAGCACCCATCCCTGTCATTGGGTACTGAGAGAGCCTAACCATACGCAGTGAGCCCCGCCATAGCCCGAATTTGATTCAAGGTGGTCTGTGAACCAGGTCAGGAGACAATGCGACGGCTGAGAATGGGTCTGAACAAGGGCAATCAATGTTATGGTCCCGAGAACTCACTTCGCCGTGCAGTTTGACACAGCACCCGTGTTCTATAGAAGCCTCTCTGTGTGAGGCGAAGCATCCGGCCAAATTTGCAAAAGGAAAGGGTGCTTCTTGAAGCCTTCTTCGGGTTTATATCGTATATCGTATTTGAGGTTGCACAAGTGAACCAGAGAGTCAGAACCGTAGGCTCCGCGCATGGTCTCCGTGCGTTGTAATTGCCAGCGAAGGATTAGAATGCAGAGAGTGAGGCAATGGTGGATGCGGAGCCTGGTGCGAAGCCGTGACTAGCTGGGACTCGGGAGACGCCGGGCGTCTCACGGGAGGCGGGAGTGTCAGGAGCGTGGGTAGAGCGGCCTGGAATCCTTGCCGCCAGAAGGAGCACCAGCTACCAGTCCGCCCAGCCGTGCTGGTGCCAGTGGTGGAAGCCAAGTGGAAGCACAAGAGCAAAACACTGACGCTGACAAATTGTGACAAAGATCCAAGAAGCGGTCGCAAACAAATCAACGACTCTTCGTCCTGACCATCATGTCTGAATCTTAGGGTCTCTTGTCCACCGGAATTCTCTTATTCCAGTCGTCACCGGTCGGCTCTGGTCTGGGCCTCATAACGCGCTTCACGAGATCCACATCACGCGGGTCGAGACAAGCCTATAGGCCTGTGGCCCCTACATCCGTGCGTTCTATCCGGCCGTTTTACAACTGTTAGGTTGGGTATTCGGCGTGCCGTTCCACCTGTTTTTCCAGCTCCGTGATCAACTCTACTTCAAGTTCTCGCCCGGCTTTCAAATCCAAATCCTTAGTCAATGGCCGTGAGCGGGAAATTATCAAGAACTCGGTCGGGGTATAGGTATGCGACAGATATAAAAAGGCTGCCTGCACCCTCAAGTTGCTCCATCTCGGTTCTCCAGTCCCATCCAACATGTCGTTCTTCGCTCCTGCCCCACCGCCGCCTAGCAAACTCGGCATTTACAGAACTCTGGCGCCGCTGGCTGGAATCCACGTCTCACCGATCCAGCTCGGCGCTGCGAACATTGGGGACAAGTGGAGTGCCATCATGGGCGGGATGTCTAAGGAGTCGAGCTTCCAACTGCTGGACGCGTACTTTGATAAAGGCGGGAATTTTATCGACACGGCCAACAGCTAGTGCGTATTCCATCTTTTCGTTCTTCTGGCAGTGAGCCTGATACATCGTTGCAGCCAGGATGAGACATCCGAAATGTTCATTGGAGAATGGGCGGAGGGGCGGGGCATCCGCGACCAGCTAGTGATAGCCACCAAGGTACCATTCTTTCCTTCAATTACAACCCCAACTCAGGCACCGAAACCCGCAGTACACCACCAACTACAAAGCCGGCGATGACAGCATCTCCAAAAAAGTCACCTACGTCGGGAACAACGTCAAATCGATGCACGTCAGCATCGAAGCCAGTCTCAAGAAACTTCGCACGACGTATATTGACATTTTGTATGTGCATTGGTGGGATTGGGATACCGGTGTGGAGGAGGTGATGAACGGGCTGCACAACCTCGTTGTGCAGGGAAAGGTGTTGTACTTGGTGCGTGGTCCCTTCAACTCGGACGACGATACTTGATTGTTGAGCAACACGCCAGGGTATCTCGGACACCCCAGCGTGGGTGGTCTCGCAGGCGAATCAGTACGCGCGCGATCATGGCAAGACGCCGTTTGCAATTTACCAGGGCGCGTGGAACGTCATGGAACGCTCTTTTGAGCGCGAGATTATCCCCATGGCTCGAGCTCACGGTGCGCCGCTATCCATGCAGCAGATGCAATGACTTACTCTGCTCAGGACTTGCGCTCGCGCCGTGGAACGTCGTCGGAGGTGGAAAGTTCCGCACCGATGCCGAGGAGGAACGACGTCGCACGACAGGAGAGAATGGGCGTACGATTCGAGGTCCTCAGTGGGAGCGAACCGAGGACGAGAAAAATATGTCCGCTGCTCTTGAGA